GGTGGGGGGGTGGGGAGGGGGGGCGGACGCTTCATGTACAAAGCGACGACGGGTTTTGTTACGTTCGCCCTCAGTGACCTTACGATCTCTCCGTGTAAAAGGCTATTTTACATCAAAGCAGTCCTTTGCATAAAGGTATTTCTACTCGCTATAATTCTAGATATATGAAACCATCAGTAATTTTTTCATTGGGAAAAAAATAAGGTCAAACGGGGCAGAACGGGGAGGTATTATTAGACTGTGATGTTTGTGAAGCTTTCACAATGGAAAATAAAAATGGGACAAAGCAAAACATTTAAAATATAGACATGACACGTTTGAAAAGCCATCTTTATATGCACAAGACAAAGACTAGCCATGCAAATTATTTGCTAAATCGCTACGCAAGTTTAAACTTTAAAACACATGCAGAATGGTTAAACCTTACATCTGCTAGAAAAGGTGCGTCGTATGGAACAGGATAGATCATATAATTTGATTATTAATTTGAAACACAATAGGACTAATTCATATACAGACATCAATGAAAAGCAATTGTACGAAACTAGAACAGGAGCCTCCACATTTTGCAGGCTTTTAGTCAATCGACAAGATCATTATAAACCTCAAAAGTATTTTAAATGAGCTGAAAATCACTCTACTTTAATTGAGTACCTATGTCAAAGATGGTCATCGCTGAATTCCTAATTGCATTTCTAGTGAGTTAATCATATGACATGCATATTCTTAAGATGGCATTTTTTTTACGATTGTTGTTATAATGTAACAAAGTAAAGCTCAATGAAATAACTGTTTAAGAAAGGAGGCAAACAGTGAAACAGACAACCCTCTCCTTTCCGACATCAACAGTTTTCACATGGTTCGTGTGTATCTTTAACATTTTTTGTTTCTTTCTTTCAAACCTCTCCTGAGCCATACACGCACTTTTTAGTTAAAATGAAGGTCAGGACGGGTTTCTGCTATCAACTAAGCTACTGCTCATGCTCCCCGCTATTTACCTGTTCAATATGTAAACTGCAAGGGTTCACAAACAGACTATGCAGTGAGACAACATTAAGGCAAGTTCCTAAGAAGAATGGAGTAAACTATTGCATCTGTAACAGGCAGCTCCGCTGCTGCTGCTGGGGGTGCAGAAAACCTTGAAAGGCAGTTGAAAGCAATACTGCAGTAAGCCATAATACTCCAAGCTCTGTGTACCTTTCCCTTAGCTTTATTGCTATCAAAATCACTATTACTCCTAAGGCTACATAAAATTAGCGGTTATTCCACATCAGAGAGAGAAAAAGATTATATTTATCCCTCCTGTTCTGATAGTTCTGAGCTATCAGTACAGAATATATCTGGAGAGAAAAACACAGCAACTGAAACGTTAAAATTCTGTTGTCAATAAAGTATATTTAAATCAATTAGTCACCAGGTTATCTATAGAGGCTAGCACAGCAGTTGCTTCAACTCTGTACCTTGACTTAGCTCGCTGCTTTTGAACTTTATCCGAAGGACTGTAATCCACGTTCATTTTCATATTGCTTCTTAAATGTAAAAATCATCGCACAATTCAGCCCTCTTATCAAGGTCAAGACCTACCTTTAATGAATGAAGCCAGTCTGAATGCAAAAACACTGGATAATAAATGACTTTGAAAGACAGGCCAGCCAGTGTCTAATGTTGGACTACTATGCAGTACCCCTTGATTATTTGCTGGTGTAAGTATTTGTACAAATTTACAATCCAGTACAGGAAATCTATATCCCCACAGCAATACCAACTCCGTTTGCATGCAGTAACCCACACAGTCAACACAGAAATTTTTAAGGAACAGTTACCTTTGGATTTTCTGTATTTAAAGATCAACAAAATGACAGTATATTTATTTTCTTCTTTCAGGTTTGGTATATGACAAATAGTCGACCACTCTGGCAAGAGCACTTTGACAACTGGGAGCTTTCAGCGCATGCTCTCCCGAGGAATCATGGGGTTTGAAGTCTTATCTACAGCTGGCATTTCACTGCTGCCTATCCTGAAAGGGAGAGGGCTCAAAAGGAAAAAAAATACGTGCACACTCCCTCTTTCCAGGGAAAATTGCTGCAGTCTGAATCACCAGCTCTGAGAAAATAAATATCTGTCAGACTGAGCTGAAAGTGGGTAATTAAATAAGAGCTTTTAACATTTATAAGCCCAGATCAAGTAGCTACCTACTCAGAACAACAATCACTAGACAAAGAAATAGTTCTAGTATTTCCAAACTTCCCCCTGAACCCCAAACTTCTAGTATAAGAAATTAATTATAAGCTCATTCTAGCTATAAAATATATCCCTCTTACAAAGGGGAATGTGTCATACTGCTTAGTTGAAGAAAATATTAAATAATCAGCTGTCAATATAATTTCTAAAAACATTCTGAAACTCTAACACAAACAGGTTGAGTACAAAAATTTAAAACAAATCAAAATGAGTACATAGGCAAAACCTTGTACTATTTGAACAGTTTCCAATTTCCAAGTTACCACTTTTTCATTACCGAGTTATTGTTACTCCGCTGAAAATTCTACCAAAAAATAAGCCACTCAGAAAAAAAGGTGCAAATTTTACTGTTTCACATTCCATCTACTCTGTACACCACGGTTCCACATTTCAACTACCTCCCTTCCACTACCCACTATCCACCTACCTCCAGCCTCTACATCAATCCACGGCCTGACAGGAGTTCCTCTCGTAAGATGTTAGTATTTTGATGATGAATGTAGGTTGCGTGAAGTTTTCAGAATTTTGTTTACTGGCATTTCTATTCTGTCTTGTACTAGTCCATGAATTATTCTGGATAGTTATTCTAGTTAATTATTCATAATACTAATTATTCAGGACCAAATACTGATGCTTGTATGGAAATTACATAGCTTAAATCAGAAGTGTGAAAATATCAATGTTTAATAAAACTGCAGGCTTACTTTTCAAATAATTAAATATGCATAGCTTGGTGAGTGAAAGAGAGATGACTAAAGCTGAGAAAGACAAATTAGGGCAGTTGAAAATGGGTTGTTAAAACACTTATGTCTCTGCTTTCTACAGTCTGTTTATTTTGGACTCTATGGTCTACCTGCCATAAGTCAATGCTGTAATTAAGAGTTTCTCAACACTTGCTCTAACCTGTTTGTGCTACTCTGAATCATTAAGGGCAGAAAAACTGCTTTCTTACAGCAGCTGAAAATACCTAATTTGTTGAAATATCCCAGCTAGCACAGAGCTGGCTCTAGGCATTCTATACCCCTCCTTTATGTCCCTATTTATGTCTGGGTTATTGCTTTTCAGATTATTTGAAGATTCATGTGGAAGGGACCGCACCCTTGCTGTCAGTTCTTCCTCGGAGACAGCTCTACTTCACAGATCAATTATTAAGAGAGTGCTCACTATGATATTCACAAATGGAGAAGCACTCCAGAACCAAAGAAAATCAGGACATAAAGACAGTTTTTGATCAACGAGCCACTAGAAAAAAACCATTTTTTTATTTCTACCAGCCAACTCTTTCGTAACTGGAAGTTAAAAGATAATAACAACAGCTGTATCAGAACACAAGAGCTTAATTCAATCTGGTATCTGAATTACTTGACCTGGGCCAGTTGCAAAGAAACAAATGTAGGAAAGGTCCAAATAAGCCTGGCTAACTCAATTAACGTTGTATTGAGTGTATTTTTATTTTATGAAATTCATTATGAAGCCATTTAAGCCCACTATGACTAACAAACCATGCTAGTCTTTTTGCCAGAAAGTGGATATTCCAACTAGCTTGAAGGTTAAAATGAAGTATTATGTTACTGAAAAAATTAGTTCTATTGTAGAAACATTTTTCTTAGTTTAGATTTGTTCCATTTTAGCTTAATTGATGGCTCCTTGTCTTTTTCAAGACGGGATCAAGTAGATAAAAAAAATGCTTAACTGGTATTGTAATTTATTTTTACATATTACTATCACAGCAGTTAAAACATAGTTTTGCCAAAACAGAATACTTCCATATTGCCAGGTTACTTAGCTTTGTTGAAAACAGTGAATAATTCCAGCAGTCTTAATGTTGTCAGATCAAAAGAACTGTATTAATGTACTGTTCCTTCATTATTTGGCCTCTTTTTCAGGCCTTGCTGAAATGGTCAGATAAATATTTAATATACCTCCATATTATACTTAGAGTAATTGCTTGTCAACTTCTTTATTAAGCTTAAATCTGCACAAATTTGTTACCAAACAATTTAGTATTTTAGAAGTTGATCTTTTGCCATAAATCTGATAGCCAAATTTAGGGCCCAATTTTAAGCTCTAAATATCTTATATTGTTTTTGGTGATTTTTGTTAAGTTCTGTACTTGCCTTCAAACGTGCCGTTTTATTTAATTCAAAATGGCTGCCACCTCCAGTTAGTATCAGCGAGGCTGACCTCTGCTGAATCTCAATTAGTAGCAATCATTTTCCCTCGCTCTGCATTGGCAAAAGGGACTCTGTTCCCAGGAGAGTTCTCTCTGGGCTCAAACACAGCTACTACCAGGTGAAGGCAAGAGAGGACAGAGCGAGACAGTGCAATGAACATTATGGAGACAGAAGGAAGGAACAAAGACGACTCTATTGAGGGATGATATGGGAAGCAATAGTTTCAAAATGAAAAAAAACTGCAAGAGGCAACCTGAGATTTTTAGTGGAAATTGCCAATGCAAAGAAGGAAGCATAAAGAATAAAAAGTGC